CATTATCATCATCATCATTATCATCATCATCACGTACCATCACCATCAACATAAAGAACATCAGCACTTGGTACTCATTACCACACTTCAGTACCAGGAATACAATGGCTTATTGCCATCGTTATCACTATCGTTCCTCGTCAACCACATAATCACCATCATCTATGGATAGCGATCGCCCTAACCATTGCCTTCTTTACCATCACCATCCTTCACCATGGTCTTCACCATTATCATTATGCGCGTCGTCTTTGAAATGTTAATATGATATTTTCCATGTCTTCAACTTCTTCTCTCTTCGACAGGAAGGCTCTCCGACTTCAGAGCAACGTTGCCCTCACATTATCTAGGAATCAACGTGGTAAGCAGAAGTATTAATTAACCTTCATTCCTTAACCATTGCGAGTTTCTTTGACATTCTCTATAGTCGTGCTCGTAGTTCACGCCAAAACTCTTCCTCCACAGTTCCATTGCAGTGACTAAACACTGCACTCAAACTCAAACCAGCGCTAGCATCTTTGAGGCTTTCCCTTTTAGAATGATATTGAATATAAGATTACGGATAAGAAAACGCGTCGATTTATTTTAAACATGACGTTTCAGCTATAACTAGTGATCGGAACCAAAGCAACACTGTTGCTTGTTGTACGATTGTCAAAAAACGTCTTACCTTGAATCGTTTGACAGGAGTTGAGTGGTCATCCCTTGGGGAAGAAGCTCTCTCGACCCTTTATGGACCTCGAAAAACACCTGGAGGAAGTAGAGAACACTGATCTCAGGTATAGTCTAACAATCCCTAATAATCCCTAATGAGTTTGTTAAGACCCTCCCTTGGCGAGTTTTTTTCTCTGGGTTCGGTTTTCTTCCCTCCGCTAAACCCAACACGCTTAATTCCAATTCGAAGTGAGAGTTAGCATAGCTCTGACTTTGATCAGCTAGCCCAAGGGTTGTTTAAGGTTTAAAACTGATAGCAAGTTAGCAGAGCCCTGACTTTGATAAAATTTGAAGGTTTGAAATGAAAAACCAAATATTTAATCTTTCACCAGAAAACATTTCTGCCTCAAAATCCGATCCCATTATGACGTCATTAATTAATAGTTAAGTCTTAATAATGACGTCAACAAGTTTATTTCATAATTATGACGTCATGTGAAGAATTCCTACGTCGTCATCGAAATCAGAAGGTTCAGGAGATTCGCTTGACTAAAAACTGCAGGGCATTTGAATGCGGATCCCGACAGTCTCTCACGCTGAGAAATTTGAGAAAAAGTGCCACGAAGAGAGTCGTTCGTATTCTGTGCCGAGGAAACAAATTCGTTTGAAATCTTTTAAGCTTAGGAGAATCGCTTGAAGTTTCTCTACAAAGATAGATCACGCTGATTCGATTAGAATTTGATTTACAAATGATATGCCGGACTATGTTTTTTTTACAGACGTCGAGTGACATTACATGCTCAAACGACCCTTGACAGAAACGAGTGGGCATTGGGCACTCATTTGTCGCACGGGGACTGGGCAATGCTTTTGGGTAGACAGTACTCACTGTAACATATAAATAGAAAACATGGCAATAAGGGGGGGGGGGGGGGGGGGGGGGGGGGGGGAAATACCGAGAAACTGAACCAAGTGGAGTAAAGGTTCATGTCAGGGAAATGTTCCAGCATTTCAAATAAGGAAAGCATGCACAGTACAAGTTTTTGGATCCTGCGCTGATATCATAGAAATCAAACATAAGCCACGAGATATCAAGTATTTTTTTCTAAAAAATATTACAAATGTTATTTATGGGTTACAATGAAATGAACAATTTGAAAACAAACAAACAATAAAAATACGGGGAAGAAAAACACACAGACACAAGAAAAGAAAAAGAAAAAGAAAAAGAAAAAAGAAAAAAAAAACGAAAAGGGAGGATTTAAATCTTACCAATAGAAATAATTAAAAATAAAAAGGAAGTAATAGATTCCACTTTGCCATACCCCCGAGACATCCGCAGAGCTGAGGCGTCGTATGGACTTCGGACCTGACGGCGATTAAATCCTTCTGCCCTTGGGTGTACGAATTACGCAAGAAAATGTTCTAGCCGAAGCATCAGGGGAGAGACCAGCCGGCCCCCAGACCATATCGGCTAATCCCTTGCATCTCTGCCACGCACGGAATCGGTTGAAAATATAATGTTAAAAAGTCTAGTCTATTCGGTGAATTGTTTTCGCGGCTATTGTTATGCTAATGTCTTGGAAGCGTGGCTCAATGGGAAAAACTAGCTTTGACTTCCAAGTTAAAATGTCAAGCCCGATTGAGGGAGGTTAGTACCTGGATGGGTGACCTGAAAACTATACTAAGTACTCAAGTTTTTATTTCTATTTTTTGTATTTCTTTTTACTCTTAGATACTCGACTAGAAAGAGAACTTTGAGTTTTTTGCGTTCAATTTGCCCTAGGGTAACCGATTAATGTCGGTGTACTGAAAACGCTAATTATATTTGTCTTTCTTTTTCAGAATCGATGTCAACCATCCTTTACTGTACGGATGGAGGGAAGGCAAAGGAGATTCAGCTGAAGGACGACGCGGTTCAAAATCGGCTCAAGGTACTGAAATTTTTCTTTGAAACTAATTTTTTTATCGATACCCTGAAACGACCTCTAGGATGATCTAAGCCAGGGGACAGCTACTTCACGGATTGAATTCTCAATCTCAAACTTCTTGGCAGACCAAAGTCAGGGCATGGCTAACTCACAGATCAAACCCTGAAATAACCTCCGGGCTGATCTATGTCAGGGTATGGCTAACTCACAGATTGAACCCTGAAACAATCTCTGGGCTGATTAAAGTCAGGGCATGGCTAACTCACAGATAGAACCCTGCAACCAATTCTGGGCTGATCTAAGTCAGGGCATGGCTAACTCACAGATCAAACCCTGAAACAACCTCTGGGCTGATCTAAGTCAGGGCACGGCTAACTCACAGATAGAACCCTGAAA